CTGAGATCATTGTCATTCATTCTCTGTGGCATCCGATGCGGGTCGACGGCCGCCCAATGCGCCATCCTCGAGGTGGGGGCCACAACCCCCATCGGAATGAGTGGGACCCAGTGTGAGAAAGGAGCCACCTCTCCCCAACTCCGGTGCCAAAATGAAAGTGTTTCACTGGTGGCCGCTCTGAGAAAGTGGCTGTGTGTGTTTAGTCTGCAGAGGCCGCATGGGAGCGACTCCTCGACTTTGTGACGTATAAGAGTGAGGATGGAGTCGTTTTCTTGGATTGGGCGGAGTTCTTGCTCGGAAAAGGAGGAATGAGCAGGACTGCGAATGGAGGAAAACGCCACTTTGGAGGTGTGTTTGCCGAGGAATTAGCATCTTAACATGATTAGCTGCTCAAAGCGGTCGATTTTAGAATGATAGGGCCCCTTTTTTTTTGGAACATGAAAAAAAACATCCACATCACTGAAAGCATTGTTTTGTTTTGTTTTTTAATAACATACACAATATATCGCCAGTCAACCACAAGGAACATATTGACACACACACACACACACACACATTCACCCTTCCATAATGGGCAATTTAGAATCTTTACCATATATAATATTTTTAAATGTAGGGGGAAATCAATCAATCACCGAACAGTAAACTCACACGAGCAGAAAATGCAATCAATATGCTAAACGGTCTGAGCGGATATTCCAAACTAGAAGCCTCCAGACAGGCACGCGTTGCTGACATCTTATCAGTACAATGAATTCACCCAAAAAGAGACATTTGTGACATGGTAAACAAAGGACAAGGAGAAAGGACATCTGTTCTTTTTTCTTCTCAGCTACAAGAAGCAGACAAGCTTTGTTTGGTGAAAAGAAAAAAAATGCGCATTATGTCTTCTTACTCTTCCATTTCCCATTGTCACATAGATGTCATGATTGAATGCGCAATTGAATTCGGGCTTCGCAAAAGAAATAAACGGCCTTTTGCTTTTCAAACAAACAAAGGTAAACTACAGAGGATCCTTGTGCCTTCTGTCATGTGTTGTTTCATTCCCCCGCCCTTTATAGCGTTTCAAGTTCCCCCCCACACACCAGCCCATCGCCGCATGCTCATTCCCCACCCCTTGGAAAAAAAAAATAAAAAATTCACAATTGCATCCCAATTGGTATCACACCCACATCGCAACATCACTCCCGTTTCTGCACAGAAAATAAGAGGTGAGGTTGGGAAAAAAAAGCTGTATTTGTTGCAATGACACATATAGGTGCATCATATTTCACCTTCACACAGCATGAAATCCATCGACTTTATGCGGATGATTTTGAAACAGATGTCAGATTGCACATCTCTCACTTTGATTTGCAGATGCTCGCACGGTTGCAGTTTGTGTGATGTGGAACGTTGATGAATAGTTCATCAGAACAATATTGTTTCATTTCGAACACACAAATCCTTAGTAAACCCTACAAAACATTGAAAACACTTCCTTTTTGTTATTCCTCACAATTTGCTTTTCGATGCGCGCACAGCAAGCAGCTTTGTTTTCAACTTGTTAACATTTCTGTATTTTATATTTCCGTATGCACACACCTTCAGAAAAAAGCTGCGTCCGTGGCAAATTTCGAAATGAATTATTTTGCAGCCATATGCTTTCAAGAGTAGCTCCACAGCCTCTCTGCGCCATATGTTCCTTTCAACTTAGTCAAGATAAAATCCAAATATATTCAGCTATGTATAACCCTTCCCGCCATGTTACTTTTCTGCATGCAAATCAAATATCTAAAAAAAAAAAAAAAAAGAGTTTTGTTTTGCTTTTGTGGAGTTATATGCCAGGTTTATGCTGTAGCGCTCTTGTGTCTTTTGGGATGAAAATGGCGTCAAACACAGACCTGTCCAAATCGTACGGGGAGTCGCCATACGTTTTGCGTGAAACAATCTCGCAAGAAACTGAGCGGCATCAGTTAAAACAAAGTACAAGGTCCTTTTCATGTTACGCAACTCCAATCGACTCCAGTTAACTTTGGAATGGAGCCTCTGTTGTTTTGCGCCGTCATTTCATCTTTGTGCATCTAATGAGCGCGCCGGATCGCACCTGCTGTTAAAAAACATTTCGCCGGTCGCTCGGTTTCCCCGACAGTCGTCCAATAATTGGCCGCGCGCGCCTGCACATCTGCTGCCTCTTAACTCAAGAAGGTGCTGCGGGGAAAAACATCACAAGATGTATTCAGGCTAACAAATTGAGCGAGGATGCTCGCGCGCTGTAAGTCATGCCGTTTGTTCGTGTCTGGGCGACTTAACAAGTTTAATCTAATTCTTCGGGGGCGTCAAACCACGCTGATTACAATCATTCCGGAGGCAGGGAGGCTTGGTGAGGCATCTTCGGAGAAAGTGGGTGTGTGTGTGTGTGTGTGTGTGGAGTGCTCGTCTAATCCTCCTTAATTGTCAAAACTCACTGGTCAGCAAGATAAACACCACAAAATGTGTGATGAAGAATTGTTTACCCCGGGGCAAAGGGGATACTTTACACAGCCGTTTATTTGGTGAGCAGCACACAGACTCATTTCGGATCCGCATTTCATTTTTATTTTTGTAAACTATCTTGTCAAGTGTGAAATCTGCATCTGTCCGAGCTTCCAAAAGACTTTGCTTGAACGCCAATGTTGAGCGTCGGCAGAGCCGGCGCGGAAGAGGGCCAGGTTAAGATGCGTTCCTGCCTGTCGGGCTACGGCGCGAGAGAATCCATTTCAGGATTGTCTCTGTGCTCAGCGTGAATTGCCAGATACCATCATGTAGGATTTCACCATTTATTTTTTTAAACTTCACTTGTCACGGCTACACAACATTACAGCGCATTGTTCAGTTGTATCTATTTTTTTATTTTTATTTTTTTAATAATCTTGTGGGGAAATGTCGATCTCAATAGAGTGATAAGTGCGTTTTCGGGTAAATACGGGCTCCTTTAATGTGACGGCAAGACACAATGAAAATGGTGTGACTTCAGTATATTTCAAATCTCATTCCAAGAAAAACGGCTTTTCTGTACGGTCTCATTAGGTTCGTGGAAATCGTGTTCACGTTCCATTTTATCAGGAAAAAAAAGGGAGCATTCAAAGCAAGGAGTGCATTTCCAGCAGCGGTGCTGATAACAAGCGTCTGATCACAGTCTTGCAGTTAATAATTGGAGCTGTTTTCAACCCATGAATGTCAAATGATACTCCTCTGTGTTTCCGTCAAAACAACTCCAGAACCTTCGATGAGCTGGTCTATTTCAAGCTTATAAATATTGATGCGAGCAAGGGAATTGAACAAAAGATGGCAAAAATGCTTGCAGCATGAGAATGGCGAGGGGTCATTTGTCATCATTTCACTTTAGCGCTTAACTTTGTTTTGTTTTTTTTCTTTTTCTGTTCAGTGACGGTTCCTTGTTCCGGGGGCTAGCGCAGCTTCCTAGCTTCTAGCTAACATTCATTTAACCTCACCGCAACACAAAACAAAGCAAGCCTGCTTTCTCTTCCGTAGGCGGAGGACACCCTGAACTGGTTGCCAGCCAATCGCAAGGCACACAGAGACCAACGACCATTCGCGCTCACACTCTGCACTGTGAGGCGGACGTGCTAACCAGTCAAGAACCGCGCCACCCGGTAGCCTATTATAGGAAATGATCTTTATACACTGGATTGTTTGCCAACATGTGTACGCCGTAGCTTTTTGTCTGTAGTTAACGAGTTGCTTGACTGTGTTTATTTATTCTTGCTATTTGTTCATGTTGTTATTGTTGTATTCACAACATGCTTTCATTATATTCTAAAAAGCCTGACGGAGGACTGCAAATTAGCTGGAACTAGATTTTCCTTTTTTTTTTTTTTTTAAAGGCAATGTTGTATGTATCGTTCCTGGTAAGTAAACATTCATGTAACGTTCATTTTAAAGCCATTAAAATTGATTATTGATGGTTTTTGTTCTTGCAATTAAAAAAATTAAGATGAAAATACAGATTTTTGCACTGTTGCATTTGACCTGGGATGTATTTATTTGTTTACGCGAATGAATATTCATGCTCAGCCAAGGCAGTCATGTTTTTGATCACGTACGTGCGTGTGTGTGTGTGTGTGTGTGTGTGTGTGTGTGTGTGTGTGTGTGTGCGTGTGCGTGCATGCGTGCGGTACAGGAAGAACATCCAGATCTTCAAAAACACAGCGTATAGTGATGAAAAGTCTGATTCCAAGGAAGATGTCAGCCGTTTAGTGATGTGTGATTCCACCCACCAATATATCTGATTCTCAGAAGCGATTCTCAAATCAAACTTGAACATTGGAGGTCACGTGCCGCATTAACAGGAAGACAGTGGACCGTTAAAATATCTCAATTATGCGCGGTTGATGGGAAACGCAGGACTTTTTCTTCTGCCTCAGTAAGTGCAGGAATACACAAAAACTTGCTGCCCTGCTCACTCAGTCACTCAGTCTGACTCTGTACAATGTCAAGATGTAGTTTGTCATGTTTGTGGAAAAACGTGAAGGTTTGGTTCGGTGTCAAAATACGTCTTGAGTCAAAATGAAACATTTCCATGGCAATAGCCGCTTGAATTGACACAGGTAAGGTATTCAGGAGTACAGAGAATGCCGCAGAACCTGCAGACTTCTTTTTACAAAGTGCCGGACATGGAGCAAAAATAGTCCATACAACAACAAAACAATAAATCAATAATGAAGACAGTAGAATGCACACAAACCTTAAAACTAAAAATCAACTCTTTCGCTGAGTGAAAAGCCAAAGAATAAAAATGAGTTTTAAGCTGAGTTTTGCCTAACATTCAGCGGGAGGTCCTTCCAAAGAGAGAGACCGGCATGAGAAAAGGCTGGATCCCCTCTGAGCCTCCGCTTAGTTCCTCTAATGATGTCTGGTCTGCAGACCTGAGGCAGATGCGTACAGGGGCGGAGGAGCTCAGTGAGGTAAGTTGGGGCGAGGCCATTTAAAAATTTGAAAACAAATAATAAGATCTTAAAAAAGAACTCTAAAATGGATAGGGAGTCAGTGAAGGGATGCCAGAATCGGAGTGATGTGCTCCTTCTTATGAGTACCTGTCAACAGGCGAGCAGCAGCATTTTGGACCAACTGGAGACGCTTCATGGAGGAGTGGCTGACTCCAAAGTCAAGTGCATTGCAGGAATCCATGTGACGAAGGCATGAAGGACTGAGCTGCTCACAAGGACTCTGTCCTAACAGTTCAAATTGTACTGTCAACTGAGTGGTTCCGATGAAATCCGACTTTGTAGGTGCGGGTCCTTTGAACTTACAGTCACGTGTGTGCTTCGTTTTGCAATTAACCCCACTTTGACATGAACGCGTCCATGTCAGGACATACAAGGGCTCCGAGATTGGAAAGAGGATGGCAAAGACAGACGCGGTAAGGGGTGGGTTCATCCTTTCAGCGAATAAATGATTATGTCCGTCCAGCCAGCTGTGGCGCCGTCAGCGGCCTCGGGGCGTGCCGGAAGGCTGATGAGGGTCACCATCATCCGCTTCATCAAGGATCTCACAACCGACAGCTCCCGACAGCGAGTAAGACCCCCAAACAAGCCAGGAGGGAGGGGCAGGGAGAGCCATGCAATCAGGTGGTGAGAAAGCACTCGCCTCTTTTCAGAAATATTGTTTTCATATGCTGCTGTCTTTTCAAAAATAATGATCGGATGTTTGATGACCTATTACTTACCCATTTCTTTTTATTATTTCAAAAGATACTTTCATTTAATTATATTTATGATGAGCTTTTTATATTGTGCCACCGGGAGTTACAAACAAATTGTCCCGTATGAAGAGAATGCGCGCTCGTTAAAAAAATCCGTAAGTGAAAAGGCGGCTTTGTGACATGCAACTTTTTGACAGAGTATATTTTAAAACAAAACTTATTATCTGAGCAGCCTTTTCTTGAGACCCGAAGAAAGATCTATTTCTGTCAGTGCCCCGACATCTTTCCGCTTTGTTTCACTAACCAGTCTTGAAAACATACACAAAAACGCCATCAGTACTCATGCGGAGTCACAATGGCTCTTATCAAGCAAACACATTCAAAGCAGACATTCTCACTTACTGGACGTGAAGCAGACTCGAAAATTGTCACAATTTAGCGATAGTGCGTCCCACATGAGACTCGACCTCATGAAAGCTTAAAAGCCGATCCCTCCATGTCTTGGGATATTCTAGTTAGTTCTACTTGCAGCACTAGATGTACCTACACGTACAGTGTTTACAACACACAGACACACACACACACACACACACACACACACACACACACACACACACACAGCAATATTGTTCGGAGATCCAATACCAGAAATTGAAATAAAAAGGGAGTCATGTTAGAAACACCCCCCTCTTTTTTTTTTTATTCTCTAAAGAGCAAATTAATTTTACACTCTGCTGTATTATTTCTGTTGTACACCAACACAAAGAACGAGATCCCACACACGCAGGCATGCGAGGAGCAGCGCTGGCACTTCTTGAGCCAAGGGCTTTCAGATGGGATGGAGCTTTCGTATGATCGGTAGAACATATTTTTAAATTCCAAATTGGATGACCTTGAGGTTTTTGGAAAAAAAGGAAGACGGTCAAGGTCATTTTTCTGCCCACAGCAGGAGAAACTACTTCCTACTGTGATGCAGTGTAGTTGTACGCCCCCCCCCCCGCTCCACCAAGTAAATAAATAAATAAACATCAACACAATAGTGTAATTTAATACCTCGCTGCCATGATGACCAATTGTTTCAATATGATCATTTGTAACGGCAACATGACCAAAGCACGCACGGGGGCTCATGAGCATGTCGAAACGAATGCGTCAGATGAGTGCTAATCAGTGAGAAAGGCGATTCTCTTTGCACAAAAGTAGAATTCCAACAGTCCCACTGATGCTTTCTTGTGGCCCGCAGGAAAGACGCGGGAACAAAATAATTCATTTGTTTTTGACGTGGACATTCAGGTCAGGTGGGAAGAGGGGCTCGGGCCAACAGTTTCTACTCAAGCATTTTAAGCGAATAATCCGACTTGTGTCTACGCTGTAAGTAATGGATATCGTGCCACTGAGCAGAGGGTAATGCGAGCTTTTGTTAACAGTGACCTCCCTCGGCCTGGCTATTGTTATATTACTTGTTATATTATGATTTAATACAATTCTTATCCAGCTCACTGCGTAAATGCCTAAACAGCTCATTAGTCTTCATTTTCTTCACACTCAGCCTCTCCTTCCACCGTGCCTCCCGTTTAGGCCACTGGACGGTCATTTGCAAGGCTCAACTGTCTGTTTGCCGTCCGCATCTCCGTCACATTGTCTCAGTGTTTCGGTTTCTTAGCGTGCTTAGAGTTGCCACCTTTCAGATGTGGAAATAAAGGGCACGCCACACGAGGTCGCGGCAAAATCACGCGGGAGAAACGAATTTGAGGGTTTGGCTCCCCAAAACACTATTAATAATAATGATAATAATATAGTAATAATAATAATAACAATAATAATAATGTGCTGTTAGCATCTGCGAGGCAACTTAGCATAGCATCGATTAGGCTATTAAAATCTGTCTAAATAAAACAAAGATTTGTACGTTAACACCTTTAAAAATTATGAAACACTTTATAGTCTGAATTTAAGCCCATAGACGCGGCCTGCTGTATTGTCTACATTATAAAGTGCTGGAAATTAAACAAAGCCTGTCTGGGGGCACGTTGACTGAAAGAGGACAATACTTAATTTAAATAGCTTATAAAGTGCTGCGAATGTCCATTTTTAAAACCCGGCCTGGTGTTAAGTGTGCAGTGAGCGCGTTACTCGGCAACGATCATGACAGGCAGCGGCAAGCGCAAAGGCCTGCGTGCAGGCAGACAAACAGAGGATTTGGCACCGAGCCGAGGCGAACGCGCCAGATGTAGGCTACCCAATACCACATTGCTGCCTGTCTTTTCATTTTTGTTTAAATTCAGCGTTCACGTTTGTGTGTGACAGACGCATGGTACAATGAGGAAAATACGGAACAAACCGTGTCCCGTATCGAGGACACAACATTTAATTCCCAGTTCAAGGACGATTCTGTATTTGACAGTATTTAACTTAAGCATGCATTCAGATGAGATAGATTTGTACATACGAATAAACATCTCTATTTTTTCCTGTTGTTTTAGTCACTTTCCCCTTTGGATCTCATGCACACAGGGCCTAGCCAAGAGGACATGTTGAGTTATTGTGCTTGAGGCGATGGTACTCCACCGCGCTTCACAGATGATCATTTCCCAATCCCACAGCTGAAGAGCGCAGTAATTGCTACGATGCATCCAGCAGCCGGTCCTTATCTGATGCAGTGACAAGAATAGGCCCCGTTTTGTTGCTCTCGCACTCTATATAATTCTGTAAAGCTTGCATCATTTCCCGCAGAAGAGATGACCGTGGCGATGTCACCCGAGGGTCCTGGGGGCTGATTGGATGCACATCGAGGCCCGCAGCGAATAAATCACTTCCCCTCTGTTCAAAGGAGAAACATTAGCCCTATGGGTGACCAGCCACTCATCACACACGCACGCACGCACACACACAGCCACGCAAACACACACTCGCACTCTTTGCGCAAACAATTACAGCCTTGATTCCCTTAGCACTAATCAGATACAACACAAGGCACATGCAATGTTCTGGTGAGACAATAATTAAAGCCTCTCCTGACATATTACGTGCCATATTCCTGGAGGAAGACTCATTGCCTGTAAATAAATAGCAGACTAAGCCACCACAACACTAATGACATGAGATCATTTGACACTGTCATGCATGGATTCAATATACGTGCATGATTGACTGATGTCTTTGAGAGTACGGGTGCTATAAATTTAACTGTGGCAACAAAAACAAAACAAAACAAATGAGCATTTTACAAACTGAGAACAAATAACAGCATACACGCATAGAGCAATGAATGCGTATGAGTAATTCCTTTGATGCTGTCTGAACAGAGTTGCTTAAATGATGGATGAAATCATCATTGCGAGGACATATTCCACACAAAATTAATTCCAAATTGTGTAATCTTGCGACATTTGATGTTTGACCGTAACCACATCTCCAACATGACAGAAAAAAAAAAAAAGGGGGGGAGGGAACTTGGGAAAGTTCTTTGCAAACTGGTTGTCAACGGTCATCGAGTCAAATGCCAAAGAAACTTCTTGAAAAATTTCAGGCGGGTGATAACGCCTCGGCTCTTTCATTTGGGTTTGTAAAAACCTTTTGCCCCGAGAATTTGTGTTGTTGTTGTTGTTGTTGGAGAACTACAGCAGTGTGAATGACGAATACTCTCAGCATTCCCACAACCACAAAAAGTGTTTTGTTCCAAATGAGTCACAACATTATGCCAAATACAACAACTGCCCAAGTTTACGGTCTTCCACAGCCAATAGGCTCACGTAGTGCCAATAATAATAACTCTATAATTAATAAATGTTGGCATAAATGTGGCTAGAAACATCGCATAATAGCTGTCTGCGGGGAGAAAGTAATCATAACAAAGTTTTCATTTTCTACCCCAAATTTCACAACTCGACTGGTATTCATTCCAGGGTGCAGCCCTCCCTTTGCTCAAAGTCCGCTGGGGATGTGTTCCCCTGTGACCTTGAACGTAGACACAAACTTGAACGTGGACAATTGGGGTCTGGTTTTTGTGTCGAAAACATATTACCAAAAAGGGTCACCGATTCTTTATGCCCAATGGGTGGGCATAAGGCACCCCCACCTTGTGTTTGGGTAACTCAACCATCAGTGGCAGGCGAGACCTCTAACAATGACATTTGCATGTTCTGATTCGCTGCACTGAGCAGCCGTGGCGTTGCAAATAGCTGCTTTACGAGTTCAACCACATTTCTCAGTAATAATTGATAAATGTTGGCATAAATGTGGCTAGAAACATCGCATAATAGCTGTCTGCGGGGAGAAAGTAATCATAACAAAGTTTTCATTTTCTACCCCAAATTTCACAACTCGACTGGTATTCATTCCAGGGTGCACCCCTCCCTTTGCTCAAAGTCCGCTGGGGATATGTCCCCCTGTGACCTTGAACGTGGACGATTGGGGTCTGGTTTTTGTGTCGAAAGCATATTACCAAAATGGGTCGCAGATTCTTTTTCCAGATGGAATGGGCGTAAGGCACCCCCACCTTGTGTTTGGGTAACTCAACCATCAGTGGCAGGCGAGACCTCTAACAATGACATTTGCATGTTCTGATTCGCTGCACTGAGCAGCCGTGGCGTTGCAAATAGCTGCTTTACGAGTTCAACCACATTTCTCAGTAGCGCGGCTGTAGCATCGCAGTTTTTGTTTTTTTAACTTCAAATAGCTTGTCAGCAGCAAAAGCTACTTTTGTCATCACGTGCGGTGGCGATGAAGCGGTGGCCTTCACCACAGAAGCAACATTTCCCCGGCCAGTTCTAACCCCGAAATGCCTCTTTTCTGTTTGACCTGACATTACTTATCCTCCCGCCATAGACGGTGCCTGCAAATTGTGCAGAGCCGGATGGATGGTGTAAGGGGAGGATAGGGCAAGGGTGTCTTGTCCATCTCCATGGGCCATACCATCAAGTCCTTACGCAGCACTTATACGTTCCAGTGTTTACAGTACAGCCCCCAAAAGAAGCTCAGTTAATATCGAAGACGTCCAGCACAATTTTAAGGACACACATTCAAGTATTTTCCAAAGCTAAGCTAGTCATCATGACTCAATTAGCAAACATAGCACTAGCTAGCAACATGGTTTCAGCAGTAATCTGTAACCCATATTCATTGAGTCACTGCTGCCCCCCGCCCTTGCCTCCGTCTTAAGCAGTGTCGTCTTTTCATGCCAAACATTATTTATAACTAATGAAAACAAACAAAAATAATAATAATAAAATGAAGAAAAGTAGTGTTGACCATCTGCACGTGGCCACGTCACATCGTGTCAAAAGTAACTCATATTTGGCACCTCCGCGGCAATCTGCAAGTATTCATTCAACACTCTGAGAATCGTTTTTTTTCACTCAGCAGACGAAAAGTGCTCCACAAAATGAAAGGCCCATTTGGCTCGGCCAGCGTTTGACGGTCATAACCCAAATGCGCAAGACGAGTGGAAGAATAGAGTGGTTTATGGCAAAATGCCCACCGTCACCGCCTCGACTCTTCTAGAGCTAGGTCACGCCGTTAATATACCCGATGCGCGCCACGGTTTACCTGTTATGACGCTTCAT